TGTTAGTGCAGCGGATACACCTAACGGTGCATCCGAACCTCCTTCAGAGAGACAGTGTCTCGCGCGGCTGTCTCCGGTCGCAGCGCAAGGAGCGCGTGAGCTGTAACGACCCCGGGAGTCGTTGACGGTAAAAGAGTTCACTTCCAGAAGGTTCTCCGCCGTAAGGCGTCGAGGTGACGACAGCGTGTCGACTCCGGGAGTTGACACGCGCTCGATATCAGAATCGAGAAAGTTCTCCGCCGTGAGACGTCGAGGTGACAACAGTGTGTCAGCTCTGGGAGTTGCGACACACTACTCCCACGTAAGGCGTAGAGGTAACGACAAAGCATCGACTCCGGGAGTCGATGCGACAAGCAGTGCGGACGGTTGCAAACGTCCAGCACTAAACTTTGCGTGCTGTCGTGCAGCTGGGCTGCACGAAGCAGGGCGCGAGCTAGCCGGGCTTGATGACGCGTGCCTGTGGGTACAAGAACCTGCCGGCGGTCGCCCGCAGACTGGAATGTTGCCGGCAGTATCCAGGAACATTGGTCCATGGCCGGGCCTGGACGAAACACAAGTGAATCTGGGATTCACAAGAAGAAGCGACGGCGCAAGCACAAGACGATGCGCAAGTCTCGGTCCGGGGATCGAGACTCTTCATGGTGTGTCTGCCGGGCAGACATAAGTGCCAATAGTGGCCGTCGAGACGTTGAACGTCTTGACCCGGGCCTGTACTGGGTACCAGTACGAGAATATGGAGTTGGAGAACCCTCCGACTGTTACGTCCGAGTTGATCTCGCTTCCAGTCATGAGCTGGAAGCGTTTCGCAAAGGACCTGTACGATGGACGCATCGAACAGCTATGCATTCTTTCGGACTGCGAAAGAATGACAAGTGAAACAAAGGAGCTGGGCCAACTCTTCGCTGGAAGCCCCACTGAGAGTGATGATACTCTCAGTGGCAAGACGAAGCAGGAACGCTTCAACGAGCAGAGTTGCAAGATTCTGCGAGAGCACATGGTCGTGCTCTCGGACGGGACTCCCGCAGAAGAAGTATCCCGACTCGACAGTGGCTACTGATCAAGCAAGGTGCGCGACGCATTGCTTGTGTTCTGTGCGCGACTTCGCACCGAACTGCTTCTACATGATACTCGTTCACAGCCGGGCTGTGGACGGGAAGAAGAAACGCGCACGGAAATGAACCGCTGCGTGGTCGC